ATATTTGAATGATATTAATGTACAAGTAATAAAAAACATTTTGTAAATGTAAAATTATGTAGGGATGGCAGTTGTTGTTGTTTGAAATTAAGCACAAAGCTACACAATGGGCTATCTGTGCTCTGCCCACCACAGGTATCGAAATCCGGTTTCTAGCGTTGTAAGTCCGCAGACATGCCACTGTGCCATTGGGGGGCGATACTATATATAAAGTAAAAATCAAGCTTTAAATGTATCTTTTTTTTTCAATTACAAACCTGTGAATGATGACAAACTATATCATCTAGAAGTTATGAAAAGGCGCTCTAAAAACATCAACGTATTTGTTTCTCTTTTTAATGGTTATCTTTTAAAATATTTAGAATCTATATACGAATAGAAAGATTTATATACATAAATACTAGTTTCATTTAACCTATTTTGCTTCAATTCCTTTTCTAAAGAAGTAGCCCGAACTTCTTTCATTATCCCATCAAACTTAATAAGGACTTGTTACCCTCAAGCTAAATATTTACAGTTCGAAATTCAGTACTGTTGACTTTTAATTAGTTTTATATTATTAACATGGCGTCACACTTAATACATATCGCCATCTTTTGTCTTTTAAAGAAACTATACTACGTTATGTAAGCAGACAAACAAACACTCAAGGCATGGAAAATATTTTGAAAACGTCAACCTATATTTTTTATAAAGTGAAATAGATGATAAGATTTATTTTGCCATTCCCGTAGATAATAAATCATTCATTATTAGATATGGGAACACTTGAAAAAGAGAACTATTATTTCATAAATAAAACTATGGTGTATATATACTCTTGGTGCTTATTTATTTTCACTTGTGGAATTAAAACTAAAAGTGAAAAATAAAATTTATTCTTAAATTTATATATAGCAGCTTTCCGTCAAAAACTATGATTCAGGGCTACAAATGAAATTTACGTCTATCTTATAGTATGCAAAATAAAACAACTAACATCTGTGGTTTTGTAAGTAACAGCAATTGTAAAGACTATGTGTTTTTTTTGTGTGCTCAAATTCGACAAACAACAAGATTTGTAGAAACGAACATAATTATATTACAGTCCTAATAAATAAATATATATGTTTTATATTTCGAATCTGGAATTGTAAACCTACTGTGAACAGAGTAAGGGCCTGGGAAATTTAATTAAATTCCTCATTACTGGGTTCTGAACTCACTTGCACAGAAATTCCAGTTGCTTTGCCTTATAAAACCAAGACAATTTTAGTACGTAACGGGCATGATGCCAAATCGTAATACGATGATATATTTTGAATAAGAGCTGTTTTAGGAGTTCGGCGTTGAAATTCTTGAAATTTCCTGACCAGGTTATTACTAAATGAAATGTGAGATTACTAGTGAACGAAACGACAGTTTACTTGTACGTGGGGCTGACAAACGTAATTGCTAAATGTACAATAAATGTGTTGAACAAAAAAACCTCATCTTACTCCATCTGTCTTTCGTTACATGTGTATACACATATGTGCAGCGCTTTAAATTTACTATGTACGGCGCCCAGGGCCAGATGACTAATTTATCACCCTCCCTCTTCACTAGAGCTGTATAATATATTAATATCCAACGAGAAAAAGATACTAACTATGGTAATACCATTTTTAATAAACAAAACTTACACTGCACAATGCGTAGCTAAACTACAATAACATCCGCGCTTAGATTTTTAGAGGATTTTGACTTTGACAACCTCTACAGACCAGCCTATGTAATATTATTCGATCTTAATATGAAATATTTGTTAATTCTCACAAAACTATTTGTTTTATATTGATATTTGTGAAAAACAACAACAAACTGAGAAAATTTTAATGTAAGTTTAATAAAGATAATGTTCGTAAAATTTTAGTTTTTATCTATAATAGAACTTTACCGGCTTCGTAATCAACCAGTATAATTACCATAATTATTTTTTGTGTTGCTGATCATTTGTTGAACTCCCTCTCAAAATAGACTGAGGTTTTAACCCTCTATATCAATTATATGTATATATATATATATAAGATTCGTTGAACAAATAGAGAACTGCACGTAAGCTTCCACTGAGTCTGTTTAATGATTTATTTTACACCATCTATTTCTGATTAAATTCTTTTTAGTGCACTTTTTCTCAAGTATACATTGTACGTAAAGAGGTCATCAACCAACTAATGGAATGTATGTTCAAACTATATCAACATACAGGCAAAAGGAGTATCATCATGCTCTCATTTTTCACTAACTCTCAATACTCTGGAGCACGGTGTAAAAAAAAAAAAAAAAGGAAAATAAAACACTAGATTGGCCTAGCCACAGGTTTTACAGCAGTTACGACGAACAGAGTCACAGGAAGGAAAAGACCATTCACTGGACGAGCACAATTTCCACGAGCTGTAATAGAAAATTAAAAATGAAAAATAATTATCAGAACTATTTCCAAATGTTTCAAAGCAACATTCGTAGTTTTTTTTTATCTGAATACCTTTTATAATATAAGACACATTTATATACACGAAATTATTATTATTTTCTCTGTTAACTCTACTTGTTAAATGCTTCGGAAAGATATGTCTATTAACTGTCAGAAGAACCATATTTCTTAAATAAATTAATATTTAAAGATATTTAATTTTCACCAAAAGCATTTACATCTTTTGTGCACACGCCCACGTAACTCAAATAAGTTTTACAATAATTTTGAATTCTGTACATAAGATTGCCACAGGATTTATATATAATTGTCTTAGACTTACTTTAAAAAACTGTATATAAAAGACTTTGAATAACGCTATTTTATTTAAGTTCAGCCAAAGAGCATCTAGCATCTTAGATATTTTTAAACGTATAAAAGACTTAAAATACTGTTTGCTCTGATAGATCTTTTCGCACCTTCGCTTTCCGATGCATGAAATCCCGAATTTTTATGATGGTTGCCAAATATCTGTCTCTTGGTAGTCATATTCATAACTTCAGATAAGGTCGAAGTACACTTGAGATGCATCTCTCCGTTCTGAAAATGTTTCTCTTTTACAATAAATCTCAGTCCTAGAGAAGCTGTAATGATTTCAGCTTTGTCAAAAAGTAAAGGGTAATTCACCAGGTACCTACTGTTGGCCTAAACAGAAAAAGAAATAAGCATAGTTACAGTTTACACAGTGATGTATATGATATTTACAGAACAACGATGTAAGCGATCATGTCTCTATTTTTCCCAGAAACATAAAACACGTAATATTGTTCAGTAATATGAAAATCCCTGTCTTATTACACATTTTAACTTTTTCGTATATTCTATAGCATGCATGCTTACATTTTGCATCACAGTAACAGTAAAGTTCATGCATACATGCTCAAAATTCTTTTTACCAACATCTTTCGCAGCATAATGTCCTTCCCGACAGCGTGAGCAGCAGTTTTAAGACGGTTTTTAATAGACTTTAAAAGTCCCATCAGAGAGTCAAAATGTTTTTACAGAAATATTCAAAGCACATATGATACAAGATAGCAGGGATGGCATTCCATCATCCACACATAAGAGAACAGGCATACAGTAGAATATTAAAAGACAAAAATAGGAGCCCCCCAGTGACACTGCAGGATGTCTGCGGATTTACAATGCTAGAAACCAAGTTTCGATATCCGTGGTGGGCAGAGCACATATAGCCCATTGCGTAGCTTTGTGCTTAGCTATAAACAAACAAAAATAGGATACATTAAACTCAATTAGGATTGAATAGTTATAATTCCTGCCTGTGTTATTATGTAGGGATGATGCAAATGCCATCATTACTATCTTGTTTGCATTGTTTTTGAAGGATTAATATTAGCCATCATAATATTTACTTAGTTTTTAAAAAGTTTTTCTTTACTTGTTTTCTAATGCAGTGTTTCAATAGACATAGAAACGTTGTATCTATAACCAAGTTCTAAATACACGAGGTTCCAAATGTAATATTTATTGTTTATCTATTATTGGTTAGTAATTCCCGTTTCACCCTGTACTTAAGCTTTTTAAAGGAACATTAACTTTATATAATAAAGCTCACTTCAAGGGGTAATGATAACATCGTTTACACAAAAATTATGATTTTTATTAAATTATCACCAGTTATTAATAATACTTATAAAAGCGGATATTCCGTTTGAAACTATGTTACCTCAGTGAAATTGGTTGACACCATTGTTTTGGTTTTTGAGTTATCATGTAATAAAAAAGAAGCAGAAGAAAGAAGAACAAGAAATTCAAACTTTCTACTATGATATTTACAGACATTCGCAGAACTTGTGACTCAGTCATTACATAGATATTGTTATAAAACGAAACACTGTATAGTATTGTAAAGTTCTAATGACATATTGAGGAGATATTTAAAATACCATTTCGATTAACAGTCCGAGCCACCCCTACATACTGGGTGTAATTTTAACCTGTATTTCAGGATATAAGACGTACACTTTGAAATAAAACTTCTCTTGGATTATAAACCAGCCTCTTTCAACTCAGAATGAGATTATTTATCCATGAGTTAAGGTATTGCCTGTACCAGGAGGAATTTGAAAGAGCAGAAATGTTTCATTTGTCGCCATTAACGATAACTTCAATACCTATTTTTTTTCCTCAATAAAACTTAGAAAATATAGATGTTAATTTATTTTTTAAATAGTAGAATTTTTTTAGAAATAACCAAACATATGGTAAAGAATTCTTTAACAAACTAGGAAACATTTGCAAAAACAACCCTACTATAATCTAAGCCAATATATTATAGACTTGAAACTAAAAGCAGGAGTATATACTGCAGTAGAGCCTACTTTATAGTGAAAGCTACAAAAATTAAAAATTTATCAGAGGTGTGGGAGGCAAATTAATAGTAGGGGAGAGCAAGGTTTATCTGACTGAGCAAAGAGAGAAAATGAGCTACACAGACGCACCAATTACGCTCGAGGTCCAGGGCTCGCCTTAGAGCTGTTCTGAATTAGATTTTATGCATTCTCCTGCTTTTCCTGAAAGTAATTTCTCTAATTCTGATGTATTTTTACTGGGACAGATTGAAAAGTGTGGGGATCGACCCTCCCACTTTCTACAAAGGCTATCAAAAATGGTTATATTTCACTTGTCTGCGGAGGAATGAATTATAGAAAAAAGGAAAAGATAAAAGAGCAGGTTGATAAAAACTGTATGGTTGCAATGTTTCATAAGCGTAATTTACACGGTGAGTGGGAACATACCCTTACTTTTTTTCAGTAATTGAGAATTTTCTCCCTCACATTTCAATAGTGATATAATATTTTTCATTAGAGACTAAAGTACTCACCAGTCACTAGCACTTGGGCCCAGCGGAAAGACAATTCATACTTAGACAAAACTCGTATGGTGTGTTCTTGCAGAGCATATATAACACCTCCCACTCCACTTTTGAAACGCAATTTGCGCCTCTGGACACTACAAAGCTTCTAAAAAATGAATGATAGAAAAGTAGCAACTATCACATTCTGAGAAATGTAAAGTTTAATTATGGTATATAATTAGGCGCCCAGATACGGTATACAAACTGAAGGTTAACATACTTATCACTATCTAGACCTACTAACTTGATTTTCATTTATGAACCAGCGAAGTAACGGTGGAGTTTTCGAGCTACCAGAGGTGCAGTTAACATCCACAATGTCGTCAATTCTATAAGCAGAATATCCACCTGTAATTACAGGACCTCCACTACTGGATCCTGTAGTGTGAAAACAAAAAAAGAAGAAAATACTGAGCCAACTGTATTGGAGAAATTATTTTAGCTTATAAAAGGACAATCATCGATCGAATTTAAGCCTAAGTATGAATGTTTATAGTTAAATAGAACGGATGCACAAACACAAATTTACCGACCACCAACTGCATGATTACTCAAAATTGAAAAAAAAAATAGTCAAACTAATAACTAAGTACAATTATGTAAAATGCTGCTTATGAAAGAAAGAAAATTATAGATCAGGGCAGTTCGATTCCATTCAAAATGTGTAACAGGTAATTATGTACTGAAATGGATGAAGTTTTATTCTTTGAAAAAGATACCTCTAATAATTTTTATGTTCGCTTGTACTTGTTTGTTTGATAGCTACAAAAAAAGTTATCTGTACATAGTCATCCCTACTTTTGGACCGGTGGTCTAGAGGAAAGGCAACTAGTCAACAGCACCCACTGCAAACTCTTGGGCTACTCTTATGTAACAGAGTTGTGGAATTTGACCACCACTTTTACAGAGCACCATTCTGCTCCAAAGTGTGAAGCGCGTTTTTGCGGCAAAAGGACGCGAATTATGACCCCTCGGATTCACAATTCAAACACACTGATTAAAATATCAGGCCCGGCCCAGCAATTTTACAATTAATATACTTTTATGGCTTCATATCGGATGTTTTTCTTTATTTCTTTTAAAACGTTGATTTGATTTCTTCAGTAGTGGACCAATATATATTCCTAGTGACTTAAAAAACGTGGTGGTGGCTGGTTAGACTGAAGCTCCTGCCTTCTTATCCTTATGCCCCAATAATCCCTTTTTCACTCATAAAAAATTGTCACCAACTACTAAAAGATACATCTAATTTCACAACCTGCTTGTGTGAGTTGTTTAGGGTGGGGAATTTTAGCTTTAATATTAATGCCACACAAGACTTGTAGGTCTTTACAGTAAAAATAATAATAATTGTGATATGCTGTTAAGTGTCAATACTTAAAATTCACCATCTAGTTTTAGATTTTAAGACGATTTATAAGATCAGTTGCATAGGAGTGGGAATATGTTTGCTTCTTATGGATTTTACCCTACGCAGACGAGAAGCAACCCATGGTTCCCATGGTTTCCTTTAAGCCCCCCCCCAAAAAAAACGCCTTGCCCTAAATGCTTAAAAAGTGGCCCCTTTTTTTTCAATGAGCCCCTTTCCTATTAATGCTCTCTGTACATAACTAAATATTTAAATTCCTGCAGATTAAATATGTATATAAAGAAACTTCACGCGTTTTATGGGAAAATGAACATAAAAATCGCATTTATCTCTAAGAAATACATAGGAGAAATATTAAAAGTACATTCTGGAAAAGGTTCTGAGAGATTGCATATTATGTTTAAGCGTACATAAAGGGTCGAATAAAACCTTATTTAGATGAACTGTGTTTTTATCGTTTACAGTATTTTTACAATAATCAAATGTAACTGAAATTAGTTAAAAAATTATTATAATAATACACTTAAAACAAAATCGCATTTTCTAGTCAATTAATATTAAAAAAAATCAGAAAGCTATAGTACCTATACTTGGGTACGGACTAGAAGGTAAGACGCTGCCACCAATGATGATTTCTTCACTGCTCAGAGAATAGTTATTTGAAATCACAGCTGAACACCTCAGTGTAATAGTATCTCGTACAAAATGTTCAGGTGTTACTTCAAAGTAAAGGCCTAATTTAGAACTAACCAGGCCACCAATATGTTCATTTTCTGGGTAAGCAGTTAAAAACTCTTCGGGTGGCTGTTAAAAAAAAACACAAAAAAACATGTTTTATGAAATGCCGTGACAATAAATTTACAATGTGTTACCAACCAAACGAAGTGCTTTATATGATGAATTTAATCACATATGAATATATTTTTATAACTATTTCTTTTTTTGAGAGAAGTTCTTTTAAATTATATGGTAAAAAAGTATGCCAAGTCCAACCCACCCTATGACAACGAAAGCGTTTTACATCTTCCACTGCAAATTCTACAGATTTCACATACTAACCTAACGTTCATAGAGCGATAGGCCTAACTTCCATGTAACGATAAACAGTCAACTTAGTAATCAGTCATAATCCACTCCAACCTAACTCGCGTTTTTGTACTTCTGAAACTGTTCTAAAATTTTATAGAAAACTCCATACATGAAGCCACGCGCTCATCTCTTTATATCAAACCTTCATCTAGCCAAATAACAATATAAACGTTTAAATAAAACAAAACAAAAGTTAGAACAATACAAAAAAGATGCTGTACAATTATAAATTCGAGTACACTTCATTGAAAACACTCACATTACTTTATTACGGTGTAAACAATCAAACAGGCTTACAGCAATAACAGAATAATATATATTTTTAAGTTAGTAAGTATATAATTTAAAATTAGTCTTTTTCTCCAAAGAATTAAAAGAAGAACCACATATATGGTCTGAATTATTATAATTACTTTTCGCAAATTAAGAATTATGTAAATTCTCTACAAATAAAAAAAATACGAAACATTAAAAAATTGATTACTATTTTTTCCCCTTTTTATATGTTGGCAGACTTTCCCTGAAGAGTTATATTAAGATTAGATAATTAATAATGACAACAATTAAGCAAAGAGATGCTAATCATGACACGAAACTATAAATAGGTGGTGGAATAGGGGGGGGGGGCACTTGGTGAAAGTGACCCCTAATTTTGACCCTGTAGGGAAGAGCCTTGTGTATAATTATCATGGAAAGTCGCTCAATGGTCACAGTTAGCATAGCAAATAAGGTGCCCCATATCGTTGGTCACCCTCCCTCCAGAAATTCAAATATGTTCTGCTGCCTTTGAAACTGTCGACTGCTAACTGTGACAACGGTTGTATTTTATTTAAGTCTTTTTGTGATGTAATGTCACGCTTACTTATTTTATAGTCGATGTCACATAAACAGCTGATACAAAATGTGTTTTAACTGTCACTTTGATACTGTAACCAAAGACTTCGAGATTTTAATTTGGCTGTGGCTTTAACCCAGCTGGTCTGATTAACTCTGGTATTCAGAAAAATGCCTCGTTGACAGTCATAGTATAAACGAAATGTAGTTAAAATGCAGTTTATTTTACACTTTTAGTACCGGAAAATTGTAATGGAAAAACAACAACTGTATAATTCAAGTAAATGTTAGTCTTATTGTGATCTAAATTCACTCACAAATCCATATTCATTGGATATCTCATTGTATATTATCAACAGGTACGCACTGAGGGTTGAATACTTTATATTAAAACGGTTTTGAATTTTCAACTCAGCCAATATAAAGTAGCTATGGAAGGCATGCATTAGAACTACATTTTGGCATTCTTTGGTGTGTCTAAGTAGTGTGATGCCACCTAAAATTGATCGCTTCTGGACGCAGATTATTCATACACAGAGATCATAAAGATGTGTTCGGATTGGGGATTCGGAATTTACAAGAGTGGGATATCTCTTGTAGTTACTGACATTGAAAAAAAAGGAATATATGTCAACTTGGAGAACTAAGACCATACACAACGAGGCATGCAATAAATTGTACCCCAATGGTAAGGAACTTGCAGCTTCTCGTAACAGAGGTGAATCCACAAACTCAAAAATCAGTGGCAAAAGCTGTCCACGTGCGCCAGGCAACAGTATTTAACTTAACAGAGAAGGATCCCCATCTAGAAAAAGATATAAGTCACGTATATACAAGTCGATTTCACGACATATTTAAGAAAGAAATCAACTGCATAAAACTGTGTGAAAACACTTTGCTGGGAGGAAAATGGCAGTAATTGGTGACATTCGTATATTGATAACTGTGACAAGTGACATTTCCTACCGGTCAATGGGTGAAACAAGTTTTTAAAAGTGGTATGTCGCGAAATATTTTAGAAGGGATCCATGATCATCACTGGATATTGTGCCAGAGATGAAATCTGCTTACTATCAGGTCGATGGTATGGACCTTTCCTACCACACAGCTGGAGATTGAAAGGGGTATTCATACTATTCCATACGAAGAAAAAACTAATCAAGTCGCTGGACACAACATCTCTTGACTTATGTGTGATTGAACTGTAAAAATGGGCGTTGGGAAACCATTGTCCTCTTACATTAGATGAATTATGGAAAGTCAGAAAGGAGGGGATTGTTTTTTAGATAAGGCAGCCTTACGACTAAGGTTTTTTCTGAAAATAACACATGGTCGTCAGATAGTTCACATGGACTGTAATAACATGGTATGTCTCCAAAATCGTTTTAGTTTAGCGTACTCAACTCTTTACATACACTTATATTTAAGAGAATATATTTTGCCTATTCTAAACTTTTCATGATTTTAAATACTTTTATGTTAAGTTTACCTTCCACGCCGGGATAACATTTGTATTTTTTTAAGTTTCTTTTTTAAATTGAAAATTTATTCTCCTTTTTTTATCAAATACACATATATATATACATATTAATACTAAATCAAATATACAAATATAGAAGTTCCCACGAAGTTTAGTCAGCTTATTTGTGGAATACCTCTTAGTAACTATGAAAATTTAGTCAGTTTTTTTTTTGTGTGGAATACCCAAATTTTCATAGTTACTAAGGGGTATTCCACAAATAAACTGACTAAATGTTCATAGTTACTAAGGGGAACTCCACAAATAAGCCGACTAAATGTTCATAGTTACTAAGGGGTATTCCACAAATAAACTGACTAAATGTTCATAGTTACTTAAGAGTCAGTTTATTTGTGGAATACCCCTTAGTAACTATGAACATTTAGTCGGCTTATTTGTGGAATACCCCTTAGTAACTATGAACATTTATATATATATATATATTTAAATATCAATGAATTAGACAATAAAATGCGAAATTGACATTACAAGTCTATCATAATCATTATTTTTGAAATATTTGTGTTGTAGTTAACGTGTTATTGGTCATAACACAAAACATACCATATAATGTTATTACACTATTATCACTAAGAAACACTTAAATACAGAATAAAATATTTAACTTAGTGACGATTCCAATCCTATA